TAACAAATTTTAGGACTCGGGCTCAGCAGTAGAGTGCTCCCCTAGCATTGGGTTAGATCCTCAGCACCAGATAAAATAAATAAATAAAATAAAAATATTGTGTCCAAGTACAACTAAAAAATACTAAAAAAAAAAAAAGATAACAAACTTCAACCAAACCACAAACCATATGATTAATTACATTAAATATAAATGAGTTAGTCATGGCAATTTTAAAAATTAGATTTAAATTAAATTAGATTTAAATTTAAACTGAATTTTAAAAAATCAAAATCAACTACATGCTATCCACAAGAAACACACTTTAAAAATGTAGATAAAGTCACATTGAAAGTAAAAAGGAGGGTAAAAAAAGATATACCTTGCAAACAGAACACATAAAAAATCTGAAGTGGTGGGGCTAGGGATATAGCTCAGTTGGTAGAATGTTTGTCTCGCATGCACAAGGCCCTGGGTTCGATCCCCAGCACCACAAAAAAAAAAAAAAAAAAAAAAAAAATCTGAAGTGTCAGTGCTAGGGCTCAGACCTAGTGGACTTCAGGACAAAGAATGTTACCAAACCTAAAGTTCACTTCATGATTCTATAATGGTTAATTTGTCAGGAAGTCATATAACAATCATGAATGCACCAAACAGTGGAACTTCAAAATACAAGAAGCAAAATTTGACTGATCTGAAGAGGAAAACACAAAAATCCACAATTAGAGTTCATGGTAGAACAAATAAACAAAAAAATTTAATATAGAAAACTTGACCAACACTATCAACCAATTCAACCCAACTGACATCCATAGGACACTTCACACAGACACCACATTCTTTCCAAATGTGCATAAAATATAACAACTACTATATACCATACGGGAGGACACAAGTCTCAGTAAATTTCAAAGGACTAAAAGTATCTTATCTGATCACAATGGAATTAAATGAGAAATCAGCAACAAGATATACAGAAAGCACCCCCCCCCAATATTTGGAAATTAAACACACTTGTAAATAACCTAGGAATCAAAGAAGAAATCACAAGGAAAATTATAAAATATTTTGAATACAATAAAATTAAAACACGACAAAATGTGTGGGATGTAGCTAAAGTCGGGCTTAGAGGATATTTTTGGCTTTAAATGTTTATATTACACACACACAAAAAAAAATCTACCACGGATTAGGAGCTTGCTGGGTGGATAAGAACATACAAACTGAAACCAACCTTCCTGGGTTCAAACCTTATTTCTACCACATCCTAGCTGTGTGATCTTGAGCGAATAGTTCAACCTCTCTATGCCTCAGTTTCTTCTTATTTAAAATGGAGGAGATAATAGTATCTACTATACAGGAGGAATATAAGAATTGAATTAATTCATATCTCTTGATATGAATTCATTATTGCCATTCCTAAATCTCAGAAGATCTGAAGCTACTGAGGCTCTTGCCTCACTGTAGTATGGGACAAGTCAGAAACCTGGAAGGTCACTAATGTCATTTCTCAATCTTTTAAAGGAGATGCCTTGAGACTAGGATTACCAGATTTAGCAAATAGAAATACAGGGTGCTCAGTGGAATTTGAATTTCAGATAAGTCAAAGAAAAAAAAATGCTGTGCTATAAGTAGGTCCCAGGCATTTTTGCTTGAAAAGATTACATTGAGCAAAAGAAGCTAAGCACAAAAGAACACATGCTATAGAATTCCATTTCTATAAAATTCTAGAACACAGCAAACTAATCCGTGATGACGGAAGTCAGAACAGTGGTTGCTTGAGGCGGGCAGGAGCTGACTGTAAAGAGAAGCAGGGAGCTAACTTCTGGGGTGAGGGAAATGTTCTGTAGCTTGTCTTGGATGCTGATTCTATCAGTGTGGGCAATTGTCAAATCTCATTGAACCAAATGCTTAAGATCCACAGCACTTTATTAAATGTAAATTATGCCATTCATGGGGAAAAGACCAGGTCACATGGCTCACTCTGAACCATTCAATGACAAGAAAGTAGGTCATGCTGATTGGTTTATGCCTGAGCCACATGCCCTTCACAAGTCACAAGCAGGCACAAGAGTCAGCTTCCACCAAAGCAAAGGCACTTGCCAGAAAGGGGAGAATGGAGATGTGTGGCAAGTATGTTTGGCTGCTATAACAAAGAGGCCCCCAGGCTGGGGTTGTGGCTTAGTGGTAGAGAACTTGCCTAGCATGTGTGAGACACCAGGTTCAATCCTCAGCACCACATATAAATAAATGAATAAAATAAAGGTCCATCAGCATCTAAAAAAAATATTTTTTTAAAAAAGAGGCCCCAAATAACAAAGAAACCCCAAATTACAGCAGTTTAAACAACACAGGCATTTGTTTCTCTTTCAAATAAATGTTTGCTCCTAGAGATGGAAGGGTAAGCTCTGCTCCAAGAAAGCATCAAGGACCTAGGTGCCATGTCTTTCAAGTCATGGCCAAGAAAGCTACTCCTCCAGTGGGGAGACGAGTCCCTCTCTACTGTAGTTTGGATTTTAACTAGCCCCCCAAAACCCATGTGGTTAGTTCTCAGGGTGATACAATTGGGACCTTGTGGAACCTTAATGGGCAGTGCCTCTTTAGATCACTGAGACTGCCTTTATGAAGAGGACTGTGGAACCCTGGCCGCCTCCTTCCTTTTCCTCCCTGCCCATAGGTGAGTAGTTTGGCTTTGCCAGGCACTCACACTGTGGGTGACAGGCCAGAGTAACACAACCAACCCATCATGAACAGGAATCTCCAAAACTTTGAGCCCAATTAAACCTTTTCTTTTTATAAATTATCCTAAGTATTCCATTACAGTGCCAAAGAGCTGACATACTCGCTTTAAGCACATAACCCAGCAGTTGCATGAATCATTTCCACTCACATCCTTTTAGCCAACATGCTGACAGGTAACCACCCCTACTGCAGGGAAGGTTGGGAAATGCAGTTTTTATTCTGGGTAGCAATGTGCCCGACTTTTCTGGAAGACGGTAAGAGTGGATAATAAGAGGATAATATAATCTCTGCCACGGAAGCCAAAAGTAAGTCTTCTAAAGATAGGGAGTTCAATGCAGGGTTTGAGTGTGGGATGTGCTGTCAAAATGCTTGGGTTCAAATCCTGACTCTGCCTCCTACTGTGCAGCCATGGGCAAGGTACTTCTCTGCTCTGTGCTTGATCAAGCCCTCTCTTCTCTCTGGACTCGCCTCATTCCCATGGCAATAACAGTTTCATCAGGTGGGAAATGGAGGTAGCAAACCCACGGGGAGCTCATCAGAATTGAGCTAATAATGCGTGCAGAGTGCTTGGACCGGTGCCTGGCCCAGAGTGAGTGCTCAAAAGTATTAGCAACATTGTTTTGCTTTTCAATTCACAGGCCTAAGTCCCACAGAAGTGAAGGTCAGCTTGGTGGAAACTGAGAATGAAACAGAGAAGGGAGAGAGCGCAAGCCTGCCCACCTTCTGCATGTTGGCTGGATACCTGTCAATCTCTGTTCCAGGACCCTCACTGATGACCAAGCCAGAGCCTAGAACAGCTCATATCTATCAGGAATCCTTCAGTTGCAAGCGACAGAAATTCAACTCAAACTAGCCTGGGATAAAAAAAAGAAAATTTTAATAGCACATGTAATAAAAATGCTTGCATTGATGGCGAACAGCTGGCCTCAAGAGTACTGGAGCCAATGAAGCGAATGTCAGCAAGGCTCACTCCACCTCTTCACCTCTCTACTGAGACAGGGGCCGGGTGGGAAAATGGCCACAGGCAATTTCGAGAGGAAGGACCTATTCCTTGACAGACTCACCACCAAAAAAAAAATAAGGCTTCTTGCCCCGCAAGTTCCAGAGCCAAAAAAATTCGGGCGAAGGAGACTTATTGATTCAGCCTACATTTTGTTCTGGATGGGGCATAATGACCGGAGCGGCTAGAGGTACTTTCCTATCCCTCGTGGTGGGGAGGGGCTACATAAGAGAATATCAGCTCCTATAACAAAGGAGTCGTTAAGGGAGCTCCAGGAAACAAAAATTGTAGTGTCAACTAACCTTCGCATCAATTCTTTTCCCTCTGATGGTTGCAATCCTGGAATAAGGAGTGAAAGAGTCAGGTTGTCTAGGAGATGGCAAGGGAATGGTTGGAAAGTATGGTCTCCCCTGCCCAGCCTAGGACAGGTCCCTGTATACAGCAAGCACCCAATCCATGCTTCCCGATGAATGACTGAATTAATGCTGTCTTCCCAGAGACTGTCCTGGGACGGCCCCTACTTCGCAGACCCTGAGAGGGTCCAGAGAGAAGCGGGGCTAGGGGTCCCCCACACCGATGGAGCGCATCTTTAGGTACAGTGAGCGGGTGGAGAAGGGAACCTTTAGGTGACTGGGGGAACCTTGACGACCCCGCCACACCAAGGGCCAGTTGAGGGCGGGACTCCCAGACCCCAAGATTTTGGATTGAACCATCTTCCATTCGTTAGAGGAATAGAAAGTCCTTCTGCATCTTTCGCCAGCCTTTTACCACCCCCAGGCCACAAAAGACAATGTATTCCTCTACCAAACAGCCACAGTTTTCCCCTTCTCCTGGTTACTCCTCACAGTTCCAAATACCCACACAATTCGGGATTCCCCATCACCACCGTGCAGTGGCTCGATCCACTTTGACGCATTGCAGGGAAGGCCGGACCAATCGGCGCTGCGCTCTCATTTCCGCCCTGGGCCGGGCCCAATAGCGATGAGGCTCACAGAGGAACGCGTCACCTTCTGCCAAACGGTGCTCCTCCGCTAGGGAGGAAAGTAGAGTGGACACAGGGGGCGGGGCTTGAAGTAACAGAAAGTAGTCCTGCGGCGGGGGCGCGCGCGCGCGCTCAGCGTCAAATCCAAGCCCTATTCAGGATTGGGACCAGCTATCCGTGGGCTCATCTGTGCGGAGCAGAGCGCGGAGGGATCCGTGGGAGCCGCAGTGCGGCGACGCGCGGGGAGCGCGGGGCGGGGCCGGGCGAGGCGGGGCGCGCGCGGCGGCCGTTGAGAGACCGTTGGGGCGGGCGGCGGCGGCGGCGGCGCGCGCTGCGGGCAGTGAGTGTGGAGGCGCGGACGCGCGGCGGAGCTCGAGCTGCTGCAGCTGCTGCCGCCGCCGGAGGAACCTTGATCCCAGCGTTCCGGACACCCGGGCTTCGCCATGGTGAGTGAGGCTGAGGGGCCGCCGAGGTTGAGGGCGCGGCGGGGCAGACCCCTGAGAGGGCGAGTGAACCCGGAGCGGGGGCATCCGGGCCCCGGAGGGGGCCTCTGGGCCACCCTCTCGGGGGCATTTGAACCCAGAGCCGAACGTTTGAATCCCAGAAGGGGGCTTTGGGGCTTTCAATAGCGACTTTAGTACCAGATGTGTTGAGATCCCCAAATGGGCATCTGAGCCTCAGAGGGAGCATTTGGACCCAGGATGGAGCATCTGGACCCCGAAAGGAGTTTTGGATCCAAGATGGGGCATTTGGTCTCAGAATTGGGGTGTATGAACCCCCAGGAGGAGGAAATAAGAAACGCTTGCCAAGGAGGGGGGCTATGGGGCCCTGATGAAAGCTTTGGATCCTAAGAGGATGCAGGGAAGAGGGAATGGAGGTGGCCAGGCTGCTGGGCTGCACCTAGAGGATGGCCGTGGGTAGCTGGACCTGGTGGGAGGGGTGGCCACTGGGCTTCTAGGGATCAGAGGTGGGGGTGACTTCTGCACATTAGACCCCTGGGGGGAGGGGTCTCCAAGGACCAGCATTGCAGAGGAGGAGGAGGGAGAGGTGCAAGCTAAGTGAGGAAGAACTGGGGGGTGGGTGGCATTGGAGATTAAAAGATGCTTTTGAAGCCTGTGGGGACTGGGAAGGATCTGGTGGTGGAGGGGGGTTAAAGGGGATGCCAGTATTGGGGAAACCGGGGCCCCTGTGGTTGCTTTGGAGGGTACCTGGAGAAGATTATTAGATAACTAGTGGGTTAAGACTGTTGAACTAGGAAGAGAGATTTGGAGGGGGAGGGGGACTGTTGTATTTGGGTCCATGAAAAGATGGGTTTCCAAGGTGAAGGATGGGAGAGGACTTTGGCTAGGGTGGTGGGAGATGATGAGGCTGAAGGGGAACTGGGGGAGGGGGTTGAAGGAGAAAATGAATGGCAACCAAGGTGGGCCTAGGTTTGGAGGTGGGTGTGGGTAGCTCCCTGCCAATCTCCAGGGAAAGGCCCAGACCAGGACTGTCCAGTCCAGGTGGGGAGTGGGCTGTGGAGGCTGGAGGGAATGGCTATACAGTCCCCTTTCTGGGGAAGAATGGGACTGGATGAAAGGCACCAGGGTAGTGGGAGCAGGTGGGTGGAGTTGTTCAGGCCCCTATTGCGCACTGAAGCTGCATGAAATGGGGGTGGGGATCAAAGTTTGGGGGTGCAGCAAATGAACCAGTTTGTTTTAAGCCTAGAAGCCTTACCCCCCCTCACTGACCCTTTCAGGCCAAGAACGCTGCCTTTTCCGAACAGGGTGCTGGCCACGCACTCTTCTGCATCTTCTCACTGGTGCCAAATGACAGTGCAGTACAGTACAGCGTGGCGTCAGTGACAATTGGATGCCTATTCCTGTGCCCTCAGGGTGGGGGCTGCAGAGCTGGACCTCCAGCAGACCCTTTCATCAGCTTGAGGGCCACTTGTTCCTTTCAGGGTCCTCACTGTGCTGCTGTCGGTTCGCACAGCTAAGGCTTTGGGAGAAACCAGCAGACTAGTTCTTCCCTACTCCCTGCCACCCACAACACCCACAGCCCGCACCCCCCCCCCAGTCGCAGCCTGGGAACCGTGTGCAGCCATCCTCCCTGGCAAGGCTGGGAGAACAGGCAGCCACTGCCGTGTATCAGATCTCATACTTGCTGACACAGACCTGATGGCTCCTCTTGCTGCTGCCCCATTTTCCCCCAGCAGAACCTTGCTCAAGGGACCCTGCAGCTCTAGCAGGTGCCAGCAGGCCCCCCACCTCCAAAGGAGGGCCCAAGCTTTGGCCCTGACCAGTTTCTCTTTCCATTTGTAATCAGCAAGGTACGGGTGGGACAAGTCACTGTTAACTGGCCTTGGACTTTGGCCTGAGCTCTATAGCTCCTCCTTGGCCGGGTGAGGGGCCCTGGCCTTGGTTTCTGATCTCATCTAACACTGTTCTCTGGCAGTGGCTGGGGGCTGGGACAAGGCTGAGCTGCTTTGCCCTCCCCCACCCCAAGTTTTATTTTCATGTCCAGCCTGAGATGAGGGATAAGGAAGCAGGAGACCAGCTGTATTATTTTGGAGACACTTTTTTGTGAAAGCTTACAGTCTTCTGGTCCAGAAAGGGAAGAAGCCCCGGGTCAGTGATCTCTTCTCAGGTGACCAGTTTTCTGGACAGCAAAGGTTGAGCACAGTCTGTAGCTGGGAGCTCTCCTTGACCAAACAGGGGAGAGGGCTCCTAACCTGAAAGAAGAATGTGTGACAGACCTCCATGAAGAGCCACGCCTATTTTGCAGCAACCTGGAACAACAGGATGTCAGTGCCTCATCTGACTCTTCCAGCTGTTTGGTGGGGAATAGCAGACCCGGTCCTTCAGAGCCGCTCTTGGGCTTTCTGCAACCTGTCTCATCTCCTTACAGTGCTGCCCAGAGGTGGAGGGAGCTGGGCTTCTCACAGAGTGGGGCTGTGCAGTGGGTGGGAAGGTCCCTGACTGGGCTCACTTTTTCCATTCTAGGCCAGGGGAAGAGAATGAAAAGCAGATGGAATGGCAGCTTCTCTCTGTTCTTCCTCTCCCCCCTCCCCCAGTATTGCCTGGCCTGGTAACCAGAAGCCCATCCCATCTTCTCACTCCCCCCCACACTCCCTGCCCACCCCCACCACCAGCAGCTTCCTCAGGTGTCAGGACCCAGGGGATGGGCCCTGGGCTTCTTTGCCTGTAAGAGCCAGGGCAGCAGATGAGCAGGGGGCTGGTGGGCCTAAGGCTGTTGGGTTGGTATTAAGGAGCCCACAACCCTGAGTCTTTTCTGACAGCCGTGCAGAAGAATCTCCATTTGGCCTTCTAATCTTCCCTTAGACTTTGGACTTTTCCAGAATGTGCATGTGTGGTGTTTTTCCTTCTGTACCTTCCTTCTTCCCCATTTCTCAGCCATCTCCCTTCTGTCATCCTCACTTTGATTTCCCCTCCCATTCTGACTATTTGGAGCTTGGTCTTGAGTTCCTCTAACCTTAGAGTAAACAACGTGTATTTAATACATTTGTGTGTGTGTGTACATGTTTATGTGTGTGTATATTTTTTAAAAGACTAGGATGACCGTCCATGAAGGCAGGGGTTTGTTCCTGGCCTCTGATGGAAGCTCTGGAACCTCTATGTGGAATAATGCAAATACACACAATAGTTTACTTCACTTTTTAGAGCTTTCAAACTCAAGGCTAGAGTCCTGTTGTAGACTTGGAGCCCTTTCCCCTAATTGGGAAAGTAAGGGAAAAAAGGGAAACAGTCATGTGGACCTGCAGCAGTCCAGCGATGGTGGGGCCTTCTAGGCAACATTTACAAAAAGCAGGAAAAATTTGTCTTCTAGCTGCCTATGGCTAGATACTGAGATACAGCCTTCATCTCTCTCCCTCCCCCAGGCCCTCTACCCGGATTCCCAGCACACCAGTACAAGAAGAACTGTGCCCTGTGTCTTCCTGACCCCATTCTCAAGCCCCTCTTGCAGCAAGAGCTGCCTGCTGTGATTGGCCAGGTCCCAGAGTGGCCCAGGCTGGAACGGGTTAAAAACTGCAGCACTTAAGCAAGACTTCAGTCCTTTGCTGCTGTCGCTGCTGCCTGCTGCAGTCCCTTACCGGACATTTGTCCCTTCTGCCCCAAAGAAACAGAACCGAGTGGTGCCCTGCACCTACCCTGTGCTCAGGGGGGTGAAGCAGCCACCTTCAGCCTGACCAGGGTTGCTTCAGGCACCAGAGTAACTCAAAGGAACCAGTTAAGAAAATTTTTGCTTCTTGAGTCCACCTGCCTGATCCTAGCACTTCCAAATAGGTGACACAGAAACTAGCTAAGATAGCCTCAGACATCTTTCCTCTGCCCTATCTGAGGACTGGCCTGTTTCAGTTTAGAGCCTTCTAGAGCTGCTTGATTAGCCTCTAAGGCAGCCACTCCCTTCACACAGCCTCTGGGGCTCAGAAGCAAGTGAACCTGAGCCATGCCATGCCAGTGTGGCTGATTCCAGGCTTGAGCAGGCATTTCTCCCTACCCATGGGAGCTTAATCGGGCCCTGCACCAGGCAATGTGGGTTTCCAGACCACCCTAGTACCCAGCTTATGAATCTCTAGACTTTATCCCAGGCCCAGTTCTGCCTGTGATTTGCATACACCTCACTTGCCCAGTAGGAGTGACAGAGGGGCCTGGCTGAGTGGGGCTGCCTGGTCCAGTGACTGACTTTCCTTCCTGCTTTTCCAGGCTGACCAGCTAACTGAGGAGCAGATCGCAGGTGAGTCTCTTAACCCTCTTCCCCTTTGTGTTTCCTCGGGAAAGCTTCTGTATCCCCTGTCAAATCCTACCTCTGCTAGGACTGACATCTGATAGATGATAGATGAACATGTGCCCTCATTCTATGCCTTGTGCTGGAATATTGATAAGCGTACCTAAGAGCATACCTAGCACCCCATATGCCAATGCCATGTCCCAAGACACATCTTCCCCAGGCAGCAAAGACCATGCTTCTCCTGGGTGCCGATTATTTGGGGCTTTGACATCAGTGGCTACAGATGAGTCTCACTCTCTTCCAGCTCCAGCCAGGTGAGCTTACAAGGTGAGCTCCTTGCTGGGCTTGGTGGTACACTCCTGTAATCCCACTGGTTTGGGAGCCTGAGGCAAGAGGATCGTGAGTTCAAAGCCAGCCTCAGCAACTTAGCAAGGCCCTAAGAAATCCAGTGAGATCCTGTCTCTAAATAAAACACAAAAAAGGGCTGGAAGGGCTGGTGATGTGGCTCAGTGGTTGAGTCCCCCGAGTTTAATCCCTGGTACCAAAAAAAAGAAGGTGAGCTTGCTTCCCTGTGGGTTGTGGAGCTCCTGTCCCACTTTGGGAGCTGCCCAAGAGATGGCTCGTCACGCCCACCTCTGTGCTTTCCTGGCTTTGCACTTCCTTTTGCACATGCTTGCACTTTTTCCTCTGCCAGAAATGCTTCTCTTCCTATGCATGAGCAGCTCTTCCTCCTGGTTTCATCTCACACGTCGCCTTGGAAAGGCCTTCCCTGACCTCCTGACTCTCGTAGGCATGCTCCTTCTACTCTGTACACATCACTCTCTTTATGTCCCCCTTGTCCTTTCTTGCTATCTGCAGTTATTTTATCATGTCTGTACCCAGTGTATCTTCTGTCACTGGAAGTGAACTCCTTATGTTCAAGACTTAAGTCTTATTGGTCTCTGCCATATCCTCAGAGCCTGGAAGATAGTAGGTGCTCTGTAAATTCTTGCTAGCTAAACAAACAATCACATGTCTCCCAGTAAGCCAAAAGATATTCCTGGAGCCCATCTAATTCATTTTTATAGTCCCCCCTCAAAAAAAAAAAAAAAAAAAAAAAAAAAAAAAACAAGGTCATCTATAGGAACTATTATGTGATTATTTTTTCCCCATCCTCTGGCTGAGCTGCCTGTGGATCTTAGAGACCAATTCTTGGTTTTTCCCCAGCCATGGGCTGGCACAAGTAGAAGTGAAGTTTCAGAGAACTGGCCCTGCCCTACCCACACCGTAGCTTTGCTGTCAGGATCAGCTGAGCCTCTGAAGCAAGAAGAGGCAGGAATGGACATCCCTCTCTCCTTTTCTGCTGCCCCCAACACACAGTCACACTTTCAGCTTTGTAACTTTGGCCCTAGGCATTTGGAGACCCCCTGAGAAAAGCCAGAGAACTGCTTTGCTGTTTACTGATCCCAAGCCCAGGGGGCCACATGACCCAGTCCCTGCTGCCCAACTCCCAGCAGCAAGTCCTTGGCACAGGGAGATGATAGCATCCCCTAGGAGCTTTGAACCATTTCCCCAGGGCCCAGAAGCTGGAGGTCACAGCTGCCCAGGGGTGGGTGTGCCGCCCACCCCACCTGCCACCCACAGTCCAACCTTCTACTCTCCTGCAACACAATCACACACTCCTCTCTTTACCCTTTCCCCATTAACACACTGTCCACCACCTCACCCCAGCCCACACCCTCTGGGAATAGGCTGCCAGGCATCTGTTCTCTGAGGGTTTGGGGTAGGAGAGCACCAGGTGCCAAAATGGGCCCAGTGGGAGGGCAGAGCCACGTGCTTCCCTCCCTGCTCAGCAAACAGCATCTCCCCACTCCTGATGCGTCCCCAGCTGTGGCCTTCCCACTCAGCACCACTCACTGCTCATCCTCCTAGCTTGGCAGCCGTCCCCTCAACTCCCATCCCCTCCACCCCACGCACCGTCCGTCAGCCATGCTCTGTTGCAGACCACCCCCCACGCATCACCACCCCCACAGGCTCAGCTCCTCCTCTGGAAGTGGGCAGCACCCACAGCAAAGAAGGGCTAGCAGTGCCTGTCAGGAGGAATCAGTGCCTGCATTTCCTCTTCAGGCTAGCCAAAGGCATTCCAGCCTCCCCTCCCATCCCCTCCCCTCCGGTTGACCTTGGCTAGCATACTTCAGATGAATTCTCTTGGCTCTCATCCACTCTGTGACTTTGGTCCATTTCATCATTTGAGAGTGAGGCCAAAGCCAGGGACCAAAAAGAAATGGAAAATTCTGTAAGGATAGCTGTCAGCTCGTGGTCCCCGGTATCCTCACAGAGCTCGAATGGCTGAAGACTTCTGCTGCAGAGTTTCCATAACCGTCCAATGAAGGAAACAAGGGCCTGGCCCTGAGGACGGAGGCTGGCACGAGCTTAAACAGTCTGGCTCAGTTTCTGTAGGTGGGGCCAGCTCCCTTGGCCTTCCTCAAGGGAGGGAGTCCCTGTGGCCTCTTGACCACAGCTCATTCCTTTTCTTCCCCCAGAGTTCAAGGAGGCCTTCTCCCTCTTCGACAAGGATGGAGATGGCACTATTACCACCAAGGAGTTGGGGACAGTGATGAGATCCCTGGGACAGAACCCCACTGAAGCAGAACTGCAAGACATGATCAATGAGGTGGACGCAGACGGTGAGGCCCTAGGGAGTGGGTGGACAACCCCACTCCAGGTCACCCCTGCTGACCACAGGAAACCTTCCTTAGGGCAATGGATGGACCAATAGCTCTTCCACCAGGGCTCTAGTGTCACCTAGGGCCAAGGTCAAGGGCATAATCCCCTCTCTTCTCTGCCTTCCAGGAAACGGGACCATTGACTTCCCGGAGTTTCTGACCATGATGGCCAGAAAAATGAAGGACACAGACAGTGAGGAGGAGATCCGAGAGGCATTCCGCGTCTTTGACAAGGTGAGCAGTGCCTTCCCAGGGCAGTTCTGAGACCAGTTCCAGCCTTCCAGTGGTCAGAGCAAAACCAGAGCTACCAAGCCACCACTCCCAGGGAACCTGGGTCCCAGCACCGGCCCCCTGCCACCACCACCTGCTCTGCACTCTCAGATAGCCCCCTTCACTCTGCCTGCTGCCACTCTCCTACCAAGGAAGCCAAGTGAAAGCCTTTGTCCCCAACCCCCAGGATGGGAATGGCTACATCAGTGCCGCAGAGCTGCGTCACGTAATGACGAACCTGGGGGAGAAGCTGACCGATGAGGAAGTGGATGAGATGATCAGAGAGGCTGACATCGACGGAGATGGCCAGGTCAATTATGAAGGTGAGCCGGTCCAGCCTGTGTACCTTGTGCCAGGGAGGGCCGCTCAGGCTCAGCCCTGCTCACCGGACTTCTCCCTTTCTGTCCGCAGAGTTTGTACAGATGATGACTGCAAAGTGAAGGCCGCGGGCAGCTGGCGATGCCCGTTCTCCTGATCTCTCTTCTCGCGCGCTCTTCTCTCTTCAACACTCCCCTGCGTACCCCGGTTCTAGCAAACACCAATTGATTGACTGAGAATCTGATAAAGCAACAAAAGATTTGTCCCACGCTGCATGACTGCTCTTTCTCCCTCCTCCCGGTCCCTCCCTCCATGTCCCTCATGGCTTCCTTCTGCCCTCCCCATTCCATTCACACCTTCCAGGCCTGATGCATTCATAAGATGAACCCACGCCCCTTGAGGGAGCCTGTGCCCTCCTCCTCCAGCCCGGGTGGCTCTCCTCTGTTGCCGTTTGTTTCCTTTTGTTTGTCCTCTTATTTTGGGTGCTGGGGTGGCTGTCAGCCCTGTTCCAGACCTGCTGGGGGGGCGGTGAGGCCCTCACCCAGGCAGAAGAGCATGCCCTTTGCCATTGCATGCAACCAGCCCTGTGGTTCCGTGTGTAAATCCCAGCAGCCTGTGGGGCAGGGATGCCAGGAGAGGTGTTCTAGGACTGAGGGGGGATCCAGGAACTGTGGCGTTGACTGGATGTGGCCCAGGAGTGGGGCAGGGGCAAGGAGGCCTTGGAAGCTGGCGTGCTTATACCCGAGGGGGCCCACTTGGAGGGGATAGACCGTGGACAGCACTCAGGTCCTGCTGGCTGCTGTTCCAAAACCATCTGATTGGCTTTCTGGGGTTGGCCTGGGTAGGGGACTGTTCATTTGGCCACTCTGCAGATCACATGTGCCCGTGTCCCCCCAGTGATCTCGAGCTGTTCTGTAAATACCTGGTGCTAACATCCCATGCCGCTCCCCCTGTGGCGCACCCACCCTGAGGGCCTGTCTAGGAATGGATGTGGGGATGGTCGCTCTGTAATGTGCTGGTTTTCCTTTTTTTTCCCCCCCATTTATGCTCCTTAAAAATCTTCATTTTGCCCCAAACCATGCCGGGCCAGCTGAAGGGTGGGGAGAGGGCAGATGAGCCCCACCACGCTCTCACAGGAACAAACCTGCAATAAAACAACCCAGCTGCCCGCTGTGCAGAGCACGCGGCAAGGGCAGCCTCTGCCTCCTGCTCGGCCGGCACCTCCCGCTCTGCCCCTCGCTCCTGTGGTGACTTGGCGCTGCTTCTCACCTCTGTGCTGCCTCAGCCTCTGCCCTCGCCCCTGCCTGCCCCGCACTTCCCAGCGGAGAGCATGATCCGCACCCCGGCTTCTGCCCCTCGCCTCTGGGACAAGTCAGTCAACGTGGGCAGCTCAGTCTGGGTTCTTTTCCTTCCTCTGTTCTTTTCATCCGGCTCCCCCACCCCAGGTTGATCAGGTGGTTTTTCCTGGGACCTGCCCAGTTGTGAGACTTCTCTGCCCTCTGGTACCAGCCTCCGAGGGAGGGAGGGAGGGAGGGAGGGCGGGCATAGTGGGAGACCAGCCAAGAGCTGAGGGCAAGGGCAGGGAGGCGTGAGGCTGTGGACATTTTCGGAATGTTTTGTTTTTTTTTTTAACCGGGCAATATTGTGTTCAGTTCAAGCTGTGAAGAAAAATATATATCAATGTTTTCCAATAAAATACAGTGACTACCTGACCTGGCTCTTCCCTCCTGTCTTGGTCTGGGCCTGCCCCACTGGGACTTGGCCCTGCCACTGAAGAGCCTTCCCAGTATTCCCAGGGCAGCAAAGCCTGGATCCTAGCCTGGCCGCGAGGTGGTCGAGGGCAGGGTGTCCGCAGGCCACCTGGGTGGGTGCATGCGTGGACCCGCAGGACGGAACAAGAGGGGGAACTAAGGCAGCTTCGAGGCAGGTACATGGTGCCACAAGAGCACCCGAGGATTGCACGCAGGACTGAGGTGAAGCCTGGATGTCGAGCCAGCGGCTAATGGGAGGAAGGGTGTTGCAGCCAGAGGGAACAGCATCTGTGGAAGCCCTGCGGCAGGAGGAACAGGAGACATCAGGAAACCGAAAACCGCTCAGGCTGAGTGAGCCTTGAGAAGATGAGGCAAGAGCCCTATGGCGGTAGTCTTGACAAGGCGCTGGGGGGCGGGGCGGGGTAGGGGGATGGCCTTCACGGATGTCCATCAGGCAGGCTGAAAGCCACACTGGGATCTGCAGAGTTGAGAACAGGACGGTCCTGGGCGCATAGGAGGGTGTGGGCTTGGGGGTCAAAGACTTGAAACAAAAGCTCCAGGTCATCGCCAGCTTCCAAAAGCTTGCTAACTTCCTATGGTTAGCAAGTAGGGACTCAGAAATGAAGACCTCCCAAGCCCCCCGGGCTGTGCCAAAGGGATGCATCCGGTCCTCAGGGACCTTCCCAAAGTAAATGCTCCCACAGCTTCTCCCTCTGCTGGCCTGGGCTGCAGGGTGAGCACAAGTGGTCTCTAACCCTTGAGCTTCCCACCCTCCTGCAGCTGAGCAGGAGTAGAATGGACAGTTGGTGGAAAGGGAGTTTCCTCTTCACCTGTCCTTGAAAGGATGGTGAAGCCGCAGGCCAGAGGCATCCTCAGGCAGGGCCAAGCCTCAGGGGCCTTCCTATGGCGGAGTGGGCCTCGCTGGCTTTTCCCAGTATGTCCAGTTATTGGAGTCCAGCAATGGGTGGAGAAGTTGGGCGTGGCAGCCATTTTTCCAGAACCCTGTTTCCATGCCCGTTTCCTGCTGCCTGGTCTGTGGTGTGATGCAGTAGACAGTGGAGTGTAGTGGGTAAGAACCGGGGGCCCTGTGGCCTCCAGCCCTGCCCACAGGTGTGTGGTGGGACCTCCTGTGGGGAGCTGTGGGTTGGATGGGGCAGTAGGGAGACGGCCTGATGTCCTGGCCAAGTGCTCATTAAGCATCGCCATTATTTGTTAGCTCTTCCTACTTCAGAGACTATCTCCTAAGCTCTGCATCCAGCACCTCAGGGAAACCTTAGAGCAGCTCTTTGGGTGGGTGCCAAAAGCCCCCCTCCCATCCTGACTGGGAAGCTGGGGCCCAGAGTAGGGAAATCACCCCTCAAAGTTATAAAGTAGAAAGTGGCAGAACTGGAATTCAAACCAGATCCAAGCTCTCAACTGCTGGGCTTCAAGCTAAGTGGTAGTTAAAAAAAAAAAAAAACAAAACACTGACTTCGGGGCCTAAGATCTGCAATTCTGCAACTCCAGAGGTTGAGGCGGAAAGATCACAAATTTGAGGCCAGCCTCAGTAATTTAGTGAGACCCTATCTCAAAAAGTGGGGGGGAGGGAGGTTGGGATATAGCTCAGTTGTAAAGCACCCCTGGATTCAATCCCCAGTACCAAAAACAAAATAAAACCAGGTGAGGTGGCATACACCTATAATCCCAGCAGTTTGGGAGGCCAAGGCAGGAGGATTGCAAGTTCAAAGCCAGCCTCAGCAACTTAGCAAGGCCCTAGACAACTCAGTGAGACCCTGTCTCTAAACAAAATACAAAATAGAGCTGAGAATGTGGCTTTCTGGGTAAGTGTCCCCTGGGTTCAAACCCCAGTACCAAAAATAAATTAATGAAATACTGACTTCAGGCACATCCAGGTCACAGAGCCAGCAGGGGTTGGGCTGAGACAGAGAGTCCTTGCTAGCAACCAGGCTGCCTGTGGAAAATTCTGTCCAGAAGTTGAGAGTGTAGGTTTTGGTGGTCCCAGAGAAGTGGGCTCCAGTCCCAGTTTGACCACTCCCTGGGGTAGTCTCTTTCCTCACTATCCTCAGGGGTCACCTCGGCCACTTCCTACTTGGTAACCTAGGAGTGGCGACTTTACACCACTGGGCCTCAGTTTATCGGTCTGCAAAAGAACCTGTAAAAGGAGGATCATAAAAATACCCATCTTGTCATTCAATTCTTAGCCAGGCCAAGGGATCCCAGTAAGGACACTGCTCCTACTCGAGCCCAGACACAGAGGCAGGACACAAGTCACTCTCCAGCTCTAACAAGAGAGGCTGGAGCCAGGCAGGAGACCCTTGCATCACACGCACCTGCCTGGAGGCTCTGGGCTGGGTCCCTGAATCCCAGGTGGCCACTCAGGCCCACCTGTACTGTGCCCCTTTCAGCATTCTCCCCGCAGGCCCCGGGGTTTGACTCCCAGACAGGTCGTGTTATTAAATAACCATGACTTCCCTTCCCCGTTCTTTATTAATCAAAGACACAAGGGTGGCACTCAGCTCTAATGGCCGCGGGGCAGGCAGCCAGGCAGCGACTCCAGCCCACAGCACAGAGATGCCTGCCTGGGCACATCTCCAGCCAGCTCCAAGCCTGTCCTGAGCAGGTGGCCAGACTTGGGGCCACCAGGGGTACCCAGCCAGGGGAGGCCCAAGCCCCCCTACTCCCCAGAGGGTGGCTGTGGCCAGTGCAGTTGTTCTGGGGCCACTTCTAAGTGTCACACCCAATGTGACCAGCAGGTGGGGCCATGATGACAGAAGGCCCCAGAGAGCTATAACTCCCTGGTCCAACCCTGGGGTGTGTATTTAAGTCTCCTCTGTGGGTGGGCCTTGTGCTAGGAAGACAGCAAGCAAGAAAGAAATTTTAAAATGAATAAAGTCTCCTTGAGAGAGACAAACCATACTTGACATGTCACTTGCTGACCCCACCCCCTCAGGAGCTATGTCTTCAAGGAGGAGGGAAAGTTGAAGATGGATCTTGAGGGGCAAGAGCATTGGATGGAGGAAAAACATTTGTTCCTTGGCCAGGCGTGGTGGCGCACACCGACAATCCTAGCAACCGAGGAGGCTGAGGCAGGAGGATCGTAATTTTGAAGCCAGCCTGGACAACTCAGCGAGACCCTGCCTCAAAATAAAATGCAAAAGGGGCTAGAGATGCAGCTCAGTGGATTCAATCCCCAGGACTCTGGTACCCAAAAAATAAAAAGGGGAAATAAAGCAACAGTTGTTCCAGGAGAAGGAGTTAGAAGGCGGTCTGAAAGGTCATGGCCTTTTGGAGAAACCTCAGCAGTGGGTGGTATCGGGCTGTGGCCTCCAAACAGCAAGCTCTTGTGGAGCTTTGCAACTCAGACTGAGGGGCTGTGGGTGGACAGGTAGAAGTCATCAAAACGGCTGGCCTGACGCACAGTGTAACATCCGGGACAGGAATTGGGGTTCTGAAGTAAACGGTTGGGGCCTTGGGCCCAGATGGGAATGATAGATCAAATGCTGGGCCCTGCTCAGAA